CAAAGCACATCCCCTTTGCTGCACCCTCCATGTTCAGATGAACAATAAAATCTCTTCCCAGATGGAGGGTCCTGCACAGGCCAGGGCACAGGCCCAGCCTAAGGCTGAGAGTCGAGCCCAGTCCAAAGTCTGAATTCCCTCGATTCTCCCCCCCGTTCTCAGGTTCCCCTGGTCCTGCCCTCACCCATGCTGCCAAGGCAGAATTTGCTCTCAGTGAGGCACTACAGCCCTGACTATTATGAGTGTAATGGTCTTAACTCCATAAATTCAGAATTGGGCCAAAGTCCAGGGGACAATAACTAATTTAGCGCCTTCACTGACTGTCTCTTGAGAGACTAAAACTTAACAGCTCCCCACCCATGACGGGATCATTAGCAACCAGCCACTACTGCCAGTATTATTCCCTGCTAAACCATGTGAATCACCTCACTTGCCAAGGAGGGTTGTGTGTGCACGTTAGATACGCAGAGTTGGCATGCTCTGGAGTATACATATGGATGTACAGGCTATATTCCATATATCTTAGACTCTGACAGAGAATCAGCAGCCAACAGTTGGCTTTCTGCTGGCTGCCACCTGCCTGTTTATACCTGGAAATCTCAGAGCATTCACTTTTTCACTGAAAACATTGGTGTCAGAGGCATGCAAATGACAAGAAGAAAATTCATTAGAATGCTGGAAATACTTCCTAATGATATCAGGTGGGAACCTAGGTATTAACAAATTGCTTACGATACTTCAGCAGCAATGCAAGAAGACTCCCAAATGGAAAGTACCTTACAAACTTTTCCAGTGTTTTGACAAATGAATAACGAATGGTTACCTGGCTTAACAAGAAATTCACATGCTGTTCAGACACAGCCTAATACTTTCCAGCATAACCATGTAAGTGTAAGCCATGGCAGCTACACAAGGAAAGGGGAGTGAAAATAAAACTTTCAGGAGTGCTTTGTAATATTCTTTCTCACTTCTGGTTCAAGACTACTCATCTCTTCCTGGTTTTGAATATTTCATATATAAGCAATGCAGTCAAACATCTGATCTCCATTGCCATTATAATGGCCATGATAATGAACATTCTTATAATTATAGTTTGGGTCATAATTATAATTTAGGCATGAACTGCTTCAAGTTCTTAGACCTATATTTTGTCAACTATTGCAGATTTCTGTTAGAAAAAAACAGAAAAATAAACCTAATACTTGCAAGTCAGCAGCTCCTCTTAGGTACCAGGTATTAAAAATTCCACTGTAATGCTAGAGCAGTTCCAACTAATGTATAATAAAATTAGAAAACCTTTTCATTAATGCAGCATATGATAAATTAAAAAGTCTGAGGAAGAATAGTCTGTGATTCCTACAGATCAAGTTAATCACAAAAAAAAATACATTTCTACACATTAAGAAATGGCTGCATAATTAAAGAATATGAAGAACAAAGTTGGGAAATCAGCAATATCCACAGAACTAGATCCAATTTTTGGTTAGTGTCAAAACATGTATATTTCACGTAGCACCAGACTGCTCCGACATTAGCCAGGGAAACAGTGCAGTCCATACTCAGAAATTAGGACACTTGAAGTATATTCTATTATAATTTTCTACACAGTTTTAACAAAAAAAAAAAGTAATGTCGAAGACTCAAAAATAGTGCTTTCAATTACCAATAAAAATGCTGGTGTCTTAAAGGCAGCACAGTTATCTTCTAAGAGAAAAACTGGATGCAGGCTATCACACACTGCAGCATTGAATATTTCTATCAATAATATCAATTTTCCTAGTTATTTCCACCACTGAAGAAGAATATGAGTTCTGTACAACTGTGCTATAACAAATAATTCAACTATATATTCTACTGTATTTAAAACAGCATGAGATATCATCATGTAATTGTTCAGGTATCTGTCCTCATGTTTAATTTATTATAAACAACTTAAAAACCACCCCAAAAATCTATTGAAACCAGGAACACACATGATGCCATCTGTAGAGGAGGATAACGATATAACTCAATATTCTGTTGCAGGAAAAGTGTATGTTCATAGTCCCTTTCTGAATGCATCATAGGTACACACAGAAACCCAAATAGTCATAAAGACACTTCCTTAACTGGAAGGTTTTCTAATCTCTAAATTGGATCTTCAGTTAATTTTTCAGAGCTCCCTAAAAAGCCAGGTGTCTTACCTGGCAAAATGTGCTGAGACTTTATAGTGATCTACCTGCATGGTTTGTTTTTCTCTGCAAATCAGGATGCTATGAACCACACAGATCTGAATCACATCCCAACACAAACTTACCAAACAACCACTTGGGTCTGAAAATTAATTAAAAGCTGTAGGCTAAATAGTTTTGTATGAGAACAGTGGATTGCAGATGTGGAGGAACGATGTATAAAGCAGTTAATAAAACCTGATATGTACAAATTCACAGAATATTCTGAGTTGGAAGGGACCCATAAAGATCATCAAGTCCAACTTTTAAGTGCATGGCACATCTACAGAGTTCAAACCCACAACCTTGTGTTATCAGCACCATGCTCTAACCAACTGAGCTAAATACTAGTCCTCTGAAACACATTGAACTTGTCAACCATCTCAAGTTATGAAAGATGGATTATTTTTGCAGGTCAATGATAAATATCATTCAATAGAGAAGGCTTAATTAGCTATTGAAGATGTAGAAGGTTTTTGGAAGTTGAGGGGAGAAGCTAAGGGACGGAACGAAGTTAGATAATATCAATGATTTTTTAAGTACAATTATTTCAAGAGGTTTTGAACAACCTGGAAACCAAATTTGTGCTAAAAATTTGATATTTAAAATCAAAACTGATATTAAAAAATGAAAAACTCTCCAATTTAATTCATCATACATTTAATATCAAACAATTAAAGCAGTGGATTAAGGAATATTGTATGTTGTTCACTATGATGGCATTTATATTTTCTAAAAAAATTTTGTAAATCTCTTTTAAAAGATTTTTTAAAGACTTTTTTTTAATCTTTTGTCAAAGATCTAAAAATCTCTTTTAATCTTTTGAGGTTTCATCAGTAAAATCCCTAACTATTAGACTGACTACGTAAATTGATAAAAAAATTTAATTATATTTTATTATATGTGATTATTAACTGTGTATTATAATGAAGTACTGAATCAAAGAATGTTTGAGGTTGTAAAGAACCCCTGGAGGTCACCTTTCCAACCTCCCTGCTCAAGCATGGCCACCTACAACAGGTTGCCTCAGACCATGTCCAGACAATTTTTAACTATCTGCAGGGATGAAGACTTGACAAGCTCACTGGGCAATCTGTTCCAATGCTCAGTCACCCTCATAGTAAAGTAACGTTTTCTTCTACAGAAAGATTTTCCCTATTTATAAAGTTTTTTCCTTATGAACGTTTTTCTTACGCATTCAGATTATCATATATAGAGACTAAATACCTTCTTGTAATTTCCATGCATGAGAAGCTGAATTTGCTCATAATCCCTTTTAAAACAACAAACCTTTGTGATATGAATGCCTATTCTCACCATGAACACAATTATAATTTTAAGATAATACCGAAGTACCAACAGGATTGTTTTTCCCTGCAGGCTGACATTTGGAGTTGCTCTGGTTGGACTATCATCCAAGTCAGATAAATTCCCCTTTATTAGAGCAAGAGTGATTACTCTTTTTTATTTTTTTTTAATCTTCACACATATAAACTTGCATACATATTGCTTGATCAAAGAAAATATGTCTCTGCTGATATTCATTATCATCTGTTTGTAGTAAGAATTCTACTTGCATAATTTAATCTAAGCACTTGATTTATTAAGTGCTTGATTGAAGCAGAAAGTCTTCTTTACCATATTATTTACATGTTTTCAATATGCATATCTGTGCCAAAGTTAATTTTAAAGATTCACTTTAGAAAAGTTTTGCATTCCTAGCTTTTTTATACTAACACATATCCCTAATACCAAAATCTTAACTATAAACTAAACCATTTTTTTCATTTAGATATATTACTTAGAAAAAATCCCACATCTTCTTTGTTTTTCAAAATAAACTTGTATATCAAGTTTTCAATATTCTTTTTCTTTATGTTGTTTACACACTTGTATACATAACTGTATAATAAAATCTAAATTTTAATATTTTATCTTCCATCTGTTAGAAAATTTTTATATTTAATCTACATAGTATACAATAGTCAGTGAATAGGAAAATATTTTACATGTTTGAGAACTTGGTTATCAGTTTCTCTCCCTTATACACTGAGATAGAATCACACAATACTGGGTCTTTTTTTCAAACTGAGGACTAACAATAATTATTTTTCATGTTTTATAAAAAGTATTGAGAAATAAAACTAGCTAGATCTTGAAATATTAACCAAAACTAACATTTAGGGTTTCTGGCTATAACTCAGACTTTTTTTAGTTGAAGCACACATATTCAGAAGGGTGAAGTCTTTTTAGGGTCTTTGTTGGCCTGACAGTAGACCTTAAGGCTCCTCAGATGTTGCTCCCATGACTACTACTATACCAAGAAAAATTAAGTTGATCAGCTCTATACTAGTTCTAGGCAGCCCATGGAAATATTACAGCCCTTTTCCTTCCACGCTTCTTTAATGGACAGTTCTCTTCTTTGCTGCTTGGTCTGAAATTCAGTGAGGACTGGGACAAGTCATTGCCTTAAGCAGATGCTGACAGTTGCTTTGAGACAGCCTCTCCCGAATCTCTCTCTCTGAGTTGATGTTGATACACATAATCTCTAGTTTGTGAAACTAAAACAGAATTTAGCTCACCCTCTTTGAAAGTTTTCTGGGCTTTCAAGTCAAAACACCTTGTTTTCTCGTTTACTTGTTAAATCAAGTATATATTTTTGCAGGTGTTGTTATTGTAAAAGTTAATTTCTGAAAATTACTCCAAAAAACACAAACAAGATAAGGCTGGAGTGTAATCTATCCCTTGACCATGGAAGAAAAGCAAGAACTGTTAGAGAATAATCCATACCTTGTGGCGTAATCTTACTAGGGGCTGATAGAGCCTAAAGTCGTATCCTTCCTTGACTGGCCACCCTTCCGCTCCCAGCAAAATGCATCCAAGAAGTAAAACAGTGGACCACCACATAAACATCTTTACAGGTCTGTTTCTGTCAAAATAAAATGTAAGAGTTCAGTGATGTCATATTACTTTGGCATGAGCCATGTAATAAAAGTTTACAATACTGATATTCCATTTGTGGACTTTAATAAATATTGTAGATATAAGACAATCCATCTGGCACAACAGTAAAGAGAAAAAATAGTAGTAGCATTTGGGATGACAATATCAATTTAGTTGTGCTGAACGGAACGTTTTCTTATCATATGAGAAAGTCACTGAGGAAATAACCAGGAAAAGCCACAGAAAAAAACAGAATATACTAGAAAAACAGTGGTGAAAAATGCAAAACATTTTCTCAGATGAAGGAAAAAAATTTATCATCAATCAACTTTTTCTTTTAATTACAGTCTTTCACAATGCACTGTTCATATTCTTAAAGGCCTATAACAATCATACACATTTATAGATACATATGTCATGAGAGTTTCTTTATGTGGTTCCTAATGGACTTATAAATGTGCATTTCGTAAGCTGTTTCAGAATTTATTAGAAATATGCAATCTATATTATTGATATTCAGCATTTGTGTTGAAACTATCACGTTAAATAGACAACACAGCAAACTGATTCTCATCACTTCAAGACACTCCCAAGTCAGTCTGCTTAGTCTATATTGTTTGATCCTGCAATACGGGACAGAGATGAACAACTTTCATGCAGGCTGACTTGCACATGAATGGTTTGGTTTTTTTCCCCTTTCTACCTTGCTTTTAGTTCACTTACCCCACCAACATAGAAGTCTCTAATAAACAAAGATATACAAGAATAAGTACAAAACATCCTAAGTGTGCCCTAGGAGCACAGAGTGTGTATAGACTGTTAAAGTCTTGACTGACATTTTTCTTTTCTATGGAAAATCAGCTGAGCATAAAATGTGAACAAATTCTGGATCACTTATTATCCTGTATCTTTTACAGTCATGCTCCTGGCAATACTGTTACACAAACTGTGGATTTGATTCCTATCATTCTTCATATAGCAGTAGTTCTCACAGTAGGTCTCTGCCTCTGAAGACAGAGACTGCATAGAATTAGTTCCTGTGGAGATATTAAAGGTAGTAAATGGACTCTATCCTTACTCTATTTGCAGCCTCAGTAACACGATCCTACGTAAGTTTGCTACACTTCTCTGGGGACTATTACTCCAAACTTGGTAAAACCTCTTAAAGGGTGCTGTTTGTTTCATTCTCATTCCAGCCAATTTTTTACCAGCCTGCCTTGCTTTCTCACTTGTAACTCAAACCAAAGCTTGAGATTTGTACACCATACTACTCTGACATCACTTACCTCTTGTTCCACCAAACCCCATCTCATTCTGGGTCTCCCTAGTAATCAAACTTAACATTTCTTTTCATTTATTATTGCTTATTCCAACAGTTCCCACTTCAATTACCTTTTTTTGGTGCTCCAGCTTTTCTAATATACATAGTAGAAGTTTCTCTCCTAAGAGAGCTAGCAGAATATATTAAGCAAAGAATAATTTGAAACACAGAAAACAAGCTCTATTACAGAGAGTTATTTTACATAAATAACTTGAGGCTTGTTCTTTTGCACCTGTTCAGTAACTGGATATTATAGTAAAGATAGGAAATGACACAGTGAATATGTTTTCTTGGGTTCCCCTCATACTTCCACCTAAACAGAACTGGTAATCAGATGTTCCAGTGGACCTTTACTATGGAATTATTACAACAATAAGCTTACTGACTTGAAACACAAAAAGGCTCATTACAGAATTCTGAGGTTTCAAGTACATTGTAGTATGGCATTTTCCTTCATCGTTTCAGTGTTAGTTCTCGGTATGGTTGTTATTGGAACAATAAGTCCATTAAAGGAAAAAAAAATTAAAAAAAAGAAATAAGAAAAATCAGAATCTTGACTTTTTATCTCAAAGAAAACATCCTTTTATTTGTGTTTGTTAAAAAAAAAACTTTGAAAATACTTTATTTCTGACTTTCAAGGTCAGAATTAGATTAGTTTAGCACTTGTGCATGCTAAAACTAGCTATGCACAGTTGAAGCTTTGTCCTCTTTATGCACTTGTGGAATATCTCTCCGTACAATGAAAATTTGGTTGGAGAACAGTCATTTCACAGAAGATGGTAAAGGCAGCCACATTCCACCACCCTCCCATCTATACTGTACATATTTTAGCCTCATGTGCTATAAAAGAATAGGGTCCTTATAGTCTTGAAAATTGTTTGACCTTAAAAGACTTATTCTTTGCACTTGCACAAAAGAAGAGAAAATTATTACATGCTCAGTTTTTGATTTTATTGCTGTTACTTGGATGCCTCTGGTGGTCTAGTGGTTAGGGTGCAGGACTCTCACCGCTGCGACCCGGGTTCGATTCCCAGCCCCCCGGGCAGATGGAGCTCGTCAGCCCTGTAAGGCAATCCATCTAAGAGAAGGTCACTCTAAACAAACCTACGTCCTGAGACCCTCACTGCCACTGTCCAAGCTTGCTCGGCCCCGGCAGATGAACCTCAGGATTAAAGGGTGGGCTCAGTTCAGCGCACGCTGTGTCTCACCTAAAAAATCCACTGCGCAGGCTCGAAGGGTTAATGACCTTTCCCAAATCTTCGCTCGCGAAGACTGGCCATTATTATTATTACTTGGATGAACACTTCAACATAAATTTAAAAAGTCAGCTTTTTGGACAGATGCCACTTAAAATCCCCAAAGTATACAGGGTGTCTTCAGTTATTATTTGCCTTTTTAGAAATAAAAAATTAACTTTTTTTCCAGGTATCATAAATTGAATTTATTGTACATCTTTTAAAACTACTACCAAAACCACAGTTCTTAAAACAGTACTACGTCTTCATTTTAAGAAAAATTATTATTATCTGTTCTTAAAGGTTTACATGGTTAAAGAGTTGAACTAAAGAGCAGGAAGAAAAATTACTTTTCAAAGCTTTACTGCAACTCCAGATTTTGTTGCTGCACACAGGTGAACAGAAAGAAATAAGTTATCAAGTCTATATATATATATACTCATGTTACCTAAAATTACTTCCTTCTTTTTTCTTCTTGGAGGTACAGCACAAATGATAACTAAAAGATTTCTGTACTTTCTTTTTAATATTATATTATCAATGGATCAGAAATTGTGTTTTTGAAGGATGCTTATACTATGCATTCTAGGGCAAAATGACATATTTCTGAGCTCAATTTTGCAATATGATCTAGACCTTGTTTACTCATTAATTGTAATCTGGTAGAATTTAATGTTTCAGTGTTTAGATAACATTCTTCTGTATTTATAACTCCATTAATTATATATTTGTAAAGCAGTTGCTTTTATTTTTTTTTTATTATATGACTATTTTTATCTTCACTTTTTTTTTAGTTTGTTTCATGTCATGGAGGACATAGTGAGTTTTAAGTTGTCAAACTTTCCACATCATTAAACTTGAATATATAAATGACTACAGTTACTTAGTATGCTTTTTTTAAGTGTACAGGATATATTAAGTAATGTATTTTTCACTAGAATCGGAGATAAGTGGGCTTAAGGAATTTCAGGGTCAAACAAATGATTAATGTAATTAAATGTTAGAATCAAAACTATGTTTCACAGGAAAACGCTGAAAATAAAAGATTTTAAGCAATATTAATACAGATTTTAATAAATATTTTGAACTATAGGGCTGTTGAGTATAAGCAACTTAGTTTTTTGTATTTTTTTGTTATCACTGCTTCGAAAAGTGGAAGAAAAAGTTCTACTTCAACGTCCCAGACAGTATATATGTTACCGAGAACTTTGGAAGGGGTGGGGGCTTAATCAAAGATGAATAAGGCATTACTCTCACTTTCCCTCTCTCAGGGAACGGCACAGACTGAAATTTAGGATCTGAATTAAGCAAATGCACAGCCAGAAAAGACCATGGAGAGACCAGCTTTGAAAGAAACGTTCCAAGAAATAAGTGTTATTCAATTATGTTTGACAATTTCAGTGAAATGCTATTGAACAGATAGTTTTCTTTGTGAGTTTGTCACGTTGCTGAGGCATCACCCTGAAAGCAGTGTAATGAGTTTGGTTTTGCTATGACAGTTGTGAAATCAGACTGTCAGGCAGTCTGACCTTTACCATTTTTTCCAGTGATGTGTTTGTTCATGCAACATACTTAACAAAATATAAGCTCTACCTATTACAATACATCTCCTACATACCTATAAGGATTTCAGGACAAGACAAGATAATAACTTACGTGCTGATTAATATAATTATGAATAGTCTGCTGTTTTCTACTCAATTCTGAAATTATTTAAGTTATTTATAAGGCCTCACAGAAGTAAGAAGTAATTCCACCCAATATTTTTACCACTCTAGTGTTTAAAATGTTTATTTTACTTTTTTCCCAACTTCACCAGGCTCTGTCATTAAACATCTATAAATCAAAGTGTTGTTTCCATAAATGTTGCTTCTTTGCGCTAAGTGCTTATTTGCACTAAGCACCGATGTGATACTGTAAATAAATGCAAATATTGTTTAATAACTACTTAATATTGAATTGGTGGCCAATGGTAGTTGCTTAAAAGAAGTAAAGAGGCAGGGATAACACAGTATATTCCCTCGAGTCCATTTACTGCCTCAGCTAGAAACTGCAGCTAACCAATTTGCCTGATATACACTGATGGGGACTTAGCTCCTTCAAGTCTCTCTTCTTCATTTTTTAATGTATATTTTTATTTTCATAACATCATGTGGGTGCAAAGAGTGTTGCTTCTTTATATTTATATAACCATGTTTAGAAATCTGATGAATTTATTTGGTTTATACTTTCTTTAAACAGATATCAACCTGTACCTCTGCATTTTCCTGTTTTCCTGTTTCTTTCTCTGCACATTCCTCATTTATAAACAGCCTATAGGTTAAAATGTAGAGAGAAATAAGAAAAATATTCCAGTACATCTTTTATGCTATATATGATTTGTCTGACAATAAACACTGAACTGACTTTCCTAAACAATTACTAGCAATA